ACTTTAAATTTATCAATTACTCAATTAAAATCAACTAAGTGGTATTTTGATGTTAAAATAAATGTCTTACTTTTATATTTTTTTTATAAAAATTTATTATAAAATAATACATTTAATACATTTTAACTTATTAGATAAATCTTTTTCGATTGAAAAGTTATAAAATAGTAATTCTTTGATTAGGAAGAGTTGTTTAATATTGTATTTTTTATTTAAGACTTTTGATTTTATAATTTGATTCAATTTAAAATATAAAACAAAAAAAAAATCCAAAAATACTATATAACAAAATACTTGAAAATACATCAACAAATTTTGGGGAATTCAATTCCTATAAAGTCTACAATACATATATATTTAACCGTTTGGGAAATATAATAAAAGATATTAAAATCATCCAAAATGTTGTGCTCCATGTTAGCCATAATATCTGCTGCCATATTTGATTCATGAATCACATGGATGACCCAGATACATTTGATACATCCTTGAAGGAGGTCCCTCTAGGAGAACGTTACCCCTTTTTTTTTTCTTTTTTTTAACTGTCTCGGCTTTCTGGGTTACCGAATTTTTTCTTTTTCGGCCTTTTGGCTTATTAAACCTGGATGCACACGAACAACTCTTGATCCTCCTCCTCCTACACTAGTATTAGAGGATTTTTTTGTTGGAACTTAAATATTTTAATAAAAAATAAAATAATATATTTTGTAAATTAAATTAATTGTCTCATTAATAATTTGATCAAACTAACCGTCATAGGTTAATTGTCTTATTTAAGAGCATATTATTTCATAATAATTGTCAAATTTATTTCTATCATTAATTTACAAATGTGAGTTATAAGACCATGAATCATATAAATAGAGCATGTCTAGTTGCTTAAAAAAGAGAGTTCGTCCCCATTCTCCTATTTTCCTTACTTTACTTTATCTTGTAAATATTCTTGGATAAAGAATGATGTTTTTTTGAGTTTGGTGACTCTATGGATAGTGCAGATTCATAGAGTGTAATTATAAAATTGTAGTATCTTGGGGACGACATGCTATATATATCTCTGCTGCATCGGTTGATATACTCTCCATAGAGGTATGAATCGCCTTAAAATAAGTAAGTTTTTCATGCATATTTTGATGATGATTTCTTATTGATATTTTTTTGATAAGTTCACTAATTATTTTTTATTTGATTTTTATGACTGAGGCACAACAATGACATGATGTGAAGATGGAGAAGAATGTTTGAGGAACAACAATTTTAAGGCGATTCAATATGCAAATCAAAAGTGAAATATATGAGGCTTTGTGTAAGCATAATAGAAAATTTTGATTTTCTTGAATATATATATATATATATGTGCCAAACAGGTATAAGTTTTTAATACAAATCTACTTTTAAAAAAAATTGAGGATATCGTACAATATTTTTTTTACTTTTTTTACTTTTGCTATTGAGTAATGCATGCAAATATGTGTTCTTTTTGCTGCTACTATAGTCCTTAATTTATGGGACATTTTCAATAGCTTAAAATTTAAAAATAAAAAAAAAAAAAAAAACTTTTAAAAAAAATTGAGGATATCGTACAATAT